CAAGGTGGGTGGGTTGGATGGGTCAAATGGGTTGGGGTCAAGATTGCCGGCCCTAATTTTTGTTGTTGTTGTTGAGTTGACTTTATTTGTAGTCAAGAAAGAATAGTTAAGGCCGCGTTTGGGAAGCTTCTCCAACGGTTTTTTTATTGAGTTTTTTGCGTTTATGAAGGCAAAAGCCTCATTGAAACCGATTGGGAGTTTGGCATGTGGGGTATAGCTTTTCTTCTCCTTAAGGTTGTGTTTGGTTTGAAGGAAAAAGTAGGGAAATGAAGGAAAATGTAGGGAAACCTTTACAAACCTTGTATGAATTTCCCTACATTTCCCTTCCTTTCCCTACCTTTTCTTTCAAACCAAACATAGATGGAATAATTTTAAGCTATTTTGGCGGATAAGCAGAAACTGTTTCATACTTGCTTCTTACTTCTGCTTTTTTCTGTTTAAAGTGGGAAACTATCTAAGCATGTGTTTCATTCAGTGGGTGTTTAGTGATAGGCATTTATCAAAATGTTGCCTTGTCATCGTCAAATCAGCATTTTTTTCCATCATATTCATCCATATGCATTGATATTTACAAAAGTAGGTTTTGATTTATGTGCACACCAATCATTAGGGGAAGCTTCATTTTAACACTTCCTCCAACCGTTGAGTGTTTATTCCTTGTTCCACTGATGTGGTGCCTAGTTGTCCATAAACGGTTTGTCAAATACTTTTCTCGGTTTTGAAGACAAATCAAATAAAAACGTTTATTTAATAAGCATAAGCTATACCAAACACATACTAAATTAACCCCCCCCCCCTTCAGTACTTCAAAATGATAAACATGTCCCAAATACTTATGAAACCCAGATTCATCTGCTTTTTCAAATTGGGCTTACAATAAAAATTAGGGTAAATTGCTGGAACCTCCTTGAATTTTCGGACTGTTGATGAAACCACTCCTGAAGTACCATAATTGCAATCGCCTGCCCTCAATTTTCTTACACAATTGTAAATAGATTCTTTTTGTTAAAATCCTCTAATAAGGGGTACAAAATGTCTAAAATACCCCTACAATTATTACTAAAGCTGGTTTCTACAGATAAAACAATACAAATCTTTATAAACAACAAAAAAAAGAGAGTTCAAAGTTGCAATTTAACCTTTGTGCGATTGATATGAAGGGCAAATTTGAAAAATAAATCAATTTTGGAAAAGAGATTGAAAGGGCTTCAAGTAGCGGTTAATGAATAATTTTTTTAGCTAAAGTTAAGCCCTCCCAAACACCACCTTGGTAACTTAGCATCAGATATCGCATATCAGGAATATTGTGTCAGTCCAGACGGGTCCCCATCCCCCATAGATGTTGCAGAAAGAGGCGCCTCTACACTCTACGGGCCCACCTACCTCCCTTGTCCTAAACTCCTAATCCCCTCCCTTCTTTTTCTCATCGCTCCCACCCATTTCCCTGTATTTTGTTTCATTTTCTAGCTGAAGATATTCAGGTTTTCAGGCCATCCATCAAGTAGAGCAAAAGACCCATGAAAAAGTTTCAAAGATAAATCCTCTTTCATTTGATGGATCATCCCTTGGATGGCCAAACGCGAGCTAGTTCTGTCGTCATAACGAGGTTGATAGATCACATGGTTATAATTCAAACAGTTATCACGCACAGAAATATCTTCAGTTCAGACCGACTGCGGTATGTCATATGATCTATAAAGACGGTCAACTAAATTGAGAAGTTGAAACAGAAATACAGATCCATCTTACTAGCCAGAGTTCACTTCAACCATGGTAATAAATTGGTAGATTGGGCGTCAGAGAAGTAGTTAGCAACATCATCCAGCAAGGAAAACACATAAATTAAGAGAAAACAGGCCAATAACTTTGTGAAGCAGGAGAACCCCACATGTGCCTGTGTGGTGCAAGCTTGGGTTGTCAGTTTGAGAATTTATTCTCGCTAGAAGTGAAGACGGCAAAAAGAAGACAAATTGATCAACATCTGAGATTAGAGATTAGTTTCACCACGAAAACTGAAATAATGAATTTCAAACATTATATCAACTTGTATGCACTGCACAAAGGATTATGAGCAACCAAACAAAATATACAATAACATACTTCTTTAACTAAGTTCAATTTCTGCATGCAATACAATTTGAATTCAGTAACTTATATCGACTGTCCAGTATCCACCAAATTCATAGGAATCCTACAGTCCGCTCTTACTCGCATAAACAACAGCACCTGAGTTCCCAATCTTGGGTCTCTCTCCGGTACAAGCAGAGGACGAGTAGATTGGGTGTATGGATAAAATCTGCTCCAAGAAGAATGAAAAATGGACGTCAGACCAGCTCAGTTGTTAGCTAGACCAGGACAACATTAAGATCCCAAGCACACCATTATATCACAAGTAGTACTGGAAAATTCAAGTGGGAAAAAGTCAAAGTGAGAACCATAGAAAGACAACTCTATTGCAGCAAAACCCACCATTATAAACATCAATGGGAAATAGTTGCCTATCCAAGAATTCCAAAATAGTAAAACTTTCCAACAGGAAATTCTAACAAGCTCTGTGATCAATTTTGCTCCTATACAAAAATGACATAGAAGGAAATTTATTTGGCCTCCCCATAGACAAGGCACAGTACTCTCATTATGGTTCCAAAGTACCGGTTTATCTAAACCAAGTTCCTTAATAACTTATCTAAGAAGCACCAAAATCATGCAAAAGGAACAAATCTGGACCATAGAAATTTGGGCTGAAACACAACTTTCGTGATTTCATTTCCAACTTTCGAGATTCTAATTAAAACTCTCTAATAAAACACTGTAACCAATTTGATGCTTTAAATTGACTAACGTTAATACTTAAACCACTAACAATTAAGAATAACTCCTAAAATTCTCAATTTGACAAAACTCTAGCAACCCAAAAAAAAATTGCAAAGTTGCCAATGTTATAAGAGCTTAAACAAATTAAACTTAATATCTTCATCCATGGTTTCTTTCCTTGCCCCCATGCCTGCATCAGCACTTTCACATTTTGCCAGTGGTGATATTTGCACAAGATTCTACAATTTGATGCAAGATTGCCAAGCATTCGACTATATGAGTTACAATACCTTCAACTTTATTCTTTGAATGTCTACTCCTTATAAGTATATAACCAATGTTGAGACCAATAGACTCATCCTGCAACAAAAGCAAAACAGAACTGGGACTGATCTTACCCACCGGTGAAGGATCAATAATCTGCTCAACTCCTTCTGCCGCTTCATCTCTGTTGAGCCAAGCTTGCCTGCTCTCTTGGGAGCACCGAGTTAATAACTGCTCTTGAACAAATAACCATAATCACCATCTCAAATGAATATACATCTGACTTTTCCGTCAACTGTTGGCATTAAGAATACTTGGGATCAAGATGGTGAACTGCTTTTCTCGTCTTTCAAAGACAAAAATCTTTAGCAACGTAATTCTCATCAAGCAAGATTTTCATGGATTAATATCAAGGTTGAATGATCTTTCCTGCTACACCAATGTGAAGCCAAAACAGACCCTTAGCAGAACCAATGCATATCTCAGGTCTCGGCTTCCAATAAGCAGGGCAACTCAGGACCATAAAGATGGTCTCTCAGTGACCCTTTTTCCATGAATTCATACACCAGTACCATCTCTGAGTTTTCATTGCAATACCCAACTAAGGAAACAGATGGAGATGGCAAATTTTAGGCAAGATGATTATGTCATCTGGAATTCCAGAAAACTCTGACCCGACTCCCAGTGCCTTCATTTCATAGCAACTTTCATGTTGTTACTGAGAACCCATCTGTAGTTTTTACCAGATCTACCAGAACCAATGAGAAAATCTTCACTGACAAGGATGCATGCTAATAATATATGGTTTTGTTTCTGCCCCCTAAGGTCTAAGGCTGTGTTGGAACTTGGAAGTTTAATAAGATTCCCCCTCAATATAACTTTTTTTTTGTGGGTGCTTCATGGAATTGTTCTCATGCAAGGAAACCTTTGGTTTTTGGAGGATGAAAATGAAGCAATCTCCGTCCATAATGTGAGCAGAATATTGAAACAATTGATCCTCTCTTTTGCTTCCGTTGAATGGTATGGTTCTCCTATGAATTTTCATTCATTCACCCAATGTGTTTCATGGAAGTTGGGCGTTAAAATCTTAGCCTAGGCAGTATAAATGTATAATATTAAAAAAATTATATGCATATGTATAATATCAAAATTTTTTTGCACATATACATGGGCCATACAAATCGAGCTGGAAGCAGCATTTTATGTACAATCCTTTTGATTGTAGTGCAAATTTAATTTAATTTGCACTGCTGTAAATAAATTGGAGAGCAAACGGGTAGAATGCAAATCCTACTTTATTTTTTTGTTTCCTCTTAGTGTTTGACTTTTTTGTTTGTTTATGAAAAATAAAACGGAAGGTGAAATAAGTAAGGATCCCCACTTTCTATAAAAGAGAATGAAGACAAGATGGCAGGTTGTTTTGTTTGGGATGAGTAAAATAAAAAGTAAAATGAGGGGATCCACACTTTATAAGAAAGAGAGGTGTTATAGAAGGAAAGGTAGTAAATTTTGCATTGGGTAGGAACAAATATAATTCAACTGAAGTACAAATCCTAATTGGATGAGAAATTTGCATTACAGTAGTGTTTTTGTTCTCTCTCGTTATAACTTCCTATGGCCTACGTGAGGTTGGGTTTTCTATTCTGTCCTCTCTAGACTTGCACATTTGGGATCCAGACAGGGTGATTGATCAGAAAAGCAAAAACAAAAGGAGCCCAGCCATGGCACAACCAAGCAAATTCGGTGGAGAAGAGCCTGACCTTGTTCGAGAGCTACCAAATGCTCGACACATTGACAACCCGCCAAATTGACATACCTGGCGATCGAGCAATTATCAACAAAGTCACAAGGCAGTGTTTCTGCTTTCTACTTTTCATTGAAGCTAAATTTGTGTTTTTGTTTTCTGAATTGCTTATTCGTCTCAATTACAACTATCCAAATTCACTTGAAGACGTCATTCAATATGTAGTTACAGATAGAAGGAGAAAAGCTTTTAATGTCATGGTAGCAAGTAACGTCAGCTTCAATTTTTGTCCTTTCTAATGTGAAGCGAAAACTACTCTTTTCCACCCTCCCCTTACAGCCTTACAGCCTTGCTACATCTACATAGCAAAACAAAAACGGAAGGACTTCATTGTGGGCTCTGGGTTTGGACTTGCTGTTTAATTGTCTTCGACCCAAAATGGAATAGGGATCAATTCTCAGCCAAGGGGCCCACTACAACGTCCTCTTAACAAATATGAAACTTACAAGTCAAAAGGTGACAAAGCCCATCAATGCAGACAACTACTAAGCACCCGAAGACTTTTTTTCGGCCGTCCCTCCGTCCCTTCTCTCAGCCCCAACTGTGTGAATAGGTGATAGACTGATGAAAGCAAATCACAATCACCCCACTCCAGCCCCAACCCAAATTGTGATGCTTCCACGTTCGACCAGACTAATCGTCTTGTCTTCTAGGTAATCCCACCGTCCAATCTGTGCTCCGTCGGTCAACCACATCTCACGCCGTTCGATGAAGTTAATAAAATAAAGGAACATTGACAACCAAAACAAAAACCAACGGAGAATACAGAAAAGTCTGGTCTCAAATTGGCTGGTTCGTAGAACACGTTCATAACAAGGAGTGGTGAAACGTAACAGGTGTGACTGTGTGAGCCAGTGGCTCAGCATCAGCAATTTTTAGGACGAACAGAGTACAAATGAGAAAAAAGAAAACAGAAAACCACTCTGTAAGCTTTCATGGTAGATGCATATACACCTCTGCTGCTTCTTTCTTCCTTGCTTTTTCTTGCCTTCTTTTAACATGAAGAAATGCTTCTGTTTACGTTTCAAAAAAAAAATGAAGTAGAGGCACCCATGAAAATAACAGAAAAAAAAAAAGAAGGAAAAAGAAAAAGAAATAAAGAGTTTGATTCAGTGCTTGGTGTTACTGCTTCCCATGGCAGGTGACCAGAAATCAGCGCCATTACTGTCCGCCACGTGTACGGTGCATGCAACTGGTACCAGGCAAAGGCCCCTGCTCCTCAGATCATATCTCGATTCGTCGTCTTCGTTTTCTCTTCCTTCCTGGTCAATGTGAATTCATAGAACGATCAATATTATACCATTCAATAAACTGATCAAGAAAAAAAAAATGTAGAGAAATAAAAGCAAATGAAAGAGAATGAAGATCGAGATAGCTTTTACATGCAGATGATGAGAAGATGACGGCAGTCTTTGCAAATAAGGAGAACTCAAAACCTGGTCAGAAGAGAAGAAATATTAAGACAATTCTGTTTTTCAATTTTTCAAACGTAATTTCCATATTTTTCAGACGACCAAAACTTTTGGGCCTCTCCGCCATCCTCTTCACGGCGATGTACCTGAACTTGGTCATGCAGAAATTTGATATATCCCATCGCTTCGTGAAGAACGGAGGCCGTATCTGTCTGCATCAGTCAAAGTCAAAAGTACAGTTAATATTTCTGTATAAAATATAAGAATGATAACAAAAATTTCACTGTTCCCCTCGTTCTTTAATTTAAATTTCTATCTGGTTATTCTCTTATATTTACTTTAAGAAAAATCTCCTCCTTGTTCTTTTCTTACCTTGCCAAATGGAGAAACAAGTTGCTGTAATGCTGTAATTCGTTCTCCAAGCTTTTCCTTTTTCGCCTATAATTTAATCGCAATGGGAAACCATGAAAACGAAACAACTCCATTACAGAGAAATTTTATCAGACATGAAGAAAAGCTAAGCAACAAAGCCTGTTTCTGACCTTTGTAGGGCGAGTCGAAGCCAAGTTTTCCGTTTTAGTCCTTTTATATGTTTTACGATTCTCATTTGGAGCTTCTGAGGTTGAGTTCAAGCGAGGAGCTGACGCTGGAGCCGACCCATTTCGCTTTTTCTGCTCAGTCTTTACTTCTCCACTTTCGGGTTTCTGGAAAATAAAAACAAGAATATCTTTTACTTTTAAAATACAGCACTGCACCATTATCGCTTCTCGTCCTAAGATCAAACAAAGAATCGATTTCACCATCTTGTTAAGCACTTACCTTCGACCTGGACAAGCTACTGCTACTGCTGTTATTACTGGAAGAAGCAGAGGAAGAATCACTACCGGTGATTCCAGACTTCTGGGCAACCATCCCCTGATCAGAAAACCCTCTTTCCCCAACCCCTTGGTTGCATGCATTACCAAAACACAACATCTTAGGAGGGTTTACGGTGGGAAAAGAAGATGGGTAGATAAAGCTCTCCGCCATATCAAGACCGACGACGTCTCCGGAACCCATCAACTGAGAGAAACTCCCAGTAACGAGAGGGTCATCGTCGTATCCCTCGTTTGCTGCCATGAAAGACCTTGTAGAACTAAAACTACCAGTAAGAAATCCTTCTCTGTAATAACAAAAAGGTTCACAACTAGAGCACGGAAACAGACACAAACAGAGAAAAGTGGAAAGCACAGGTTGTAACGTTCTAGGAGTAAACGTCGGAAGCTTCTTCTGTATTAGTGATGGCTGTCGTAGTTGTGGGGTGGGGACTGGACTCTCCTTTTCACCTCTCTTAACTCTCTCTTTTGTTCTCTTCCTCCTCTTTTTTGTTGTTTTTTGCAGTGGACTCTGAGAGGAATTCCCAGACTTCGGTTTCGCTGTCTTTCGGTCAAAAAACCATCTTACTCCGAGAAAAACCGTGGTTTCTCGCTTTCTTTCCCCAAAACAAAATTTAAAAAAAAAAGGCGGTTTCTGGTTTGCCCATAAAAGACCCTGTTGCTGTTCAAACCGACTTAACCATTTCTAGACCCGAACCGGACCCAATACTTCCGTTTCTGTACATAGGAGTGCTTACGACAGGTCTAAAGAATGTCAGCCGAGGCTACAGATGACCATCGATTTAGCATCGAGATGTGACAGTTGGGAATTTATGGTATAAGATTGGGTTCCGTGCTATATACGATCATTTCCACTTTAACATCTCTAGGAAGATCACGGTTCTAGGGTCGTCCACGTGGGAATTTGTTAATGAGGATTGAGACGGCAATGAAAACGACGGCGGAGGAGCAGCGCGGGCCCACCATATAACCAGTAACTGGAATTCTGGGAAATCCTCGGCAATAACTCGAGTCGTATCAGTGTGTCAGGGTTCGGGCAACGGACCGTGAACTGAGCATAGCTGGCAAGGAGGAGAGAGAGAAGCGAAGATGAACAAACCGAGAGCCACGTGGTAGACAAAACCAAAATCTTTGAGACACGTGTGACAAGAAATCTTTGAGGTTGAGAGAAGGCGCAGGAAACGAGATCATGTATCGAGGCTCGACCCGAGGATGGGTCGTCGGGAAAAAAAAAAAAAAAACGAAAAAAAATCAAAATGCCCTCCATCTCCGACATCTGCACCACCGCATGCCGCTTTCTTCCGACACTTCTTCGGTGGTGCTCCGCCTTCGGGACCTCGGCGGTTCGGCTGCCTTTTCAAAAAAATCATTAAAAATATATTTTTACTTTTTGGGAAGAATCAACAAAAGGACAATGGCTTTACAACATTCACGAAAATGCCACGACATCCGGGCCTCTTATTGGTACTCACGACTCACGCGTTTCGAGTATTGGGCCGCGACCCGCGGTCCATGGTTGGTTGATGGTCCATTTCCTATCAGGCAATCACCCCCCGTGAACTCCGTCTCAACCAAACATGAGAGTTGAGACAACCATCAACCCACCTACCGGCGACGGCTTCAGCCTTCAGTTTCTTGTTTTCGCTTGATTCCGATCCAATAAATCTGATTTTTCCCCATTCAAAAGAAACGGCTGATCTGAATTGGGTTCTAATGAATTCCTCGTTCTTGGTATATGCAACCTGACCTGACGCGATCTAATTACATTTCTGTTTTGTTTGATGCGATCTTCTCTGCGATCTGTTGTACCTGAGCAATGGGAAAGTAGACCTAGTAGTTCTTGCAACAATCACGCTCACCATTTGGTGTTCTGAGTTTAAATTCTGAATCCCCAGATGGGATCGCGATATACGGTACTTGGAACTTGTCTGTCTCTACTAGAAATGGATCTGTAACGACTAATGAGCAGATTTCTTGGAGAAATTGGGGTCAAATCCTCAGAGGAGGTAATCTCAGATCAAGTCGATTTCAACGAGTTACAAGTATCGTCTCGGGGAGTGTATGGCCACTAATAGTGATACAGATCTTTATGAAGGTCGACCTGCACATATTAATGTCGGATATCTGGAACAGTTATGAAGGAGACTCAGCCTCGCAGTTGCAGAAATGGTAATATTTAGGGATGCCGGGCTTGTTTAATGAGAGGTCTGATACCATCACATGTCAATCCCACTAAACATGTACTTGTTATTTAATAACTCTATCGGGGGTCTGCGTTTCTCATTCAACAACGGAAATGGAAAACCTTCCTCTCTCCCGGTTGAATTCAATTTAGATTATTAGTACACACGATCGACTGAATTCAATTAGAGCATGTGGACTTTGCCCCATTCAGTTCAGCAGGTATGTGAATTTTGAATCCCACTCTTGTTCAGAAGAGCCATGACTCGTCCACGACATTTTCGCCTCTTCTCTTTTGTCCTGCTGGATGTAATGTACCTCCTCCCATTAATCAAATCTGTAACGGTTCGTCCACTCTGGTACTCCTACTCCTAATATTAGGCATTTTCTATGTGAGAACAAACTTTTTTGCTCCAACAACAATGAGGCTGCATCTGCCTCCGCCTTTGCTTATGGCTCATGGCGATCAATTTAGGATTATAAATGAATCGGATTCAGTTTAATCCCCACATCATATGATCTAATTTTCAAATCAAACTGTTGGGTTCAAATTCAATTCAAATATATCAGTTTCTACTAGGGTTTGGATTTAATTTGCATGTTATTGAGGTTGACAACAAGGGTAGTTTGGGATTGGAATTTAAAAAGTTAATTTGGCCCAATGTCCCACTTACAAGTACAAAAATAATCCATAGTTCCAGGTGTTTGATCCTAAGGGCAATGACTTCAACAATTAAGGCTATGTTTGGAAATGATGCAAATGGAGTGTAAATCCTAAATCAGGGTAAATTTGTATTTTAGTTCACTTTTGTCTGTATTTGATAATATTATATTTATACATTTACATTAATAAGAAAATGATAGATCAATGCATATTTATAATGATAATAAAATGTAAAAGAAAATCAATAAAAAGAAGCAAATTTGCTTTCAAGTGGGTTTTTGATAAAAAAAAAAACATATACTTTATTAAAATTCATGTTTGCATCCATTATAATTAAAAATCTGTTTGATAAGAAGATAATTTGTTGGTGCAAAAATAATCCAACTTTACAATTTAAATAAACCATTTTACACTTTATATATTTACATTTATACTTATTTACATGGTTTTTAAATACGGCCCAAGTCAATAAGAGAGCAGATCAGCCCCCCACAATGTTTCACAGTATATCCTCACTGTATATTGAAAACATCTCACGATAATAATATCATCATTTTTATATTATCATCGAGAAATATTCTCAATACACGGCAAATATATGCTATAGTACGTTGCGGGGGCAATCTTGTGGGGGCTGATTTAAAATCAGTCAATAGAGATGATTACTGATTAGAGAGTCAGGATGTCGAATTGCTATGGTGAGAAAAATAGCAAAAGAATAGTGTGCATAAGAAATATATCCATTTGTCTTTTCATAGACGAGAAGCCATTAATTGTGTGGTATTAAGATGAATTTTGTAACGGTTCCGCACATCGATTGGAAATGATTGTCAGCTCTATTAAAGCATACACCACGTGGCTGAGCATTTCTCTTGGTATTTAAAGAGCCAAGTGCTCAATCAACATCATAACGCTCAAAGGAGTCCGGATCATTTGCTCACATCTCCTTATTTATACGTAACCTGATATTTGGGGTAGTGTTAACTTGGTATCTCAATTTTTAAATGTGTAATTTTAGTATCTTAATTTTTAAATAGTGTCAAGTTGGTCCTTATTGTTAATCGATCATTAGTTATTTGATTATATAATAAAATTTTTTTGAAAATATCAGAATCATCAGGTTCAACAAACCTTTCTGCAACATCCAGCCCAGTCTAGCCACAGGTACTTAAACTGTTGAAGTCCCCCACAGCTAGTCGGAACCTCTCCAGTGAACCGATTGAACGAGAGGTTAATGAGTTGAAACCTGGATGTTGTAGAGAAATTACTCGGGATTTCACCGTAGACTTCGTTGGAAGACAAGTCCAGATATCAGAGATTCTACAGGATAGCACCAGGGATTCCTTCAGAGAGAAGAACGAAAGCTAGTATATTTTTGATGGAACAGTTTCAAGGTAGAAGACAATGAACAATGTCTTCTTTTGAAAAGTAGTTTTGATATTTTTAAAAATTTTAAGTTGTATATGCCACCATGTGATCAAATAAGTGACGGTTGGTTAATGGCAGAGACCAACTTTTTGAAAGGTTGGGTAGTGCAGTAACACGATTGAAAATTGAGATAGTAACTTGACACTACCCCAAAATTCGAGGTACTTAACTAGAACTTTTCCTTATTGTTCATGGAGAGGTGTTCCCAATACAAAGTGGGATGTGGCCGTGAGCTCACTGTGAGGTGCGCGCTCTGTAAGGAACAGATCCCAATTCCACACAAAGTTGGATCTGAATTTAAGACCATGGCAAAATCCCCTAACTTCCCTCTAAGGCCTGTGAAAAGACAAAACTGCCATCCAAGGTTACATGTCATGTGCTGAATGGTGCAAATGATTTTGGCAATATCAATATTTAAAATGACAAAAAAAAATACTTTTTTAAATACTTATTTTTAACATATACATGTACAAAAATGCCTATAAATATAAAATATTAAATTTAATAATTATAAATTATATATAATTATATTATATAAAGGGTCATTTGCGAGAACACCCTAGATGGTTTCATGAATTTACAAAAATCAATCCTATAGTTTGTGTTTTACTAAAATATCCCTTATAATTTGCAATCAATTTACTTAGTCGACCTTCCATTAGATAAAAGTGGAAAATGATAGTTTAACACTAACATCCACTCAAATAAATTTAATCAAAAGAAACCAAAAAACAAAGTTGCCATTTTTACCCCTAGTAAAATGGTCAATTTTGTTTTCTATATCAAAAAGTATTAGAGGTACTTATGGAATAAACAATATGGGTCAATACCCTTGAACATTTTCTACTCAATTTAAAGGTACTTTTGGAACAAACAACCATGGGCCCATGCCCTTAAACATTTTCTACTAAGGCGGTGTTTGGTATGCCTTCCGTTTATTTGATAAATGGTGCTATTTCATTGTCACGTGGGCATTTGTCACATCATACTATTTCGTACGCCTTACAGTCTTATAAATGGAAGTCTTGATTTACATGCAAGCCAACCATTGGGGAAAGTTTCATTTTAACGTTTCCCCCAACACAAAAGTGTTTATATACTATTTTGCTTATGTGGCGCCTAATAGCGTCTAGTTGTCCATACATTTATTTAATAAACGGAAACTATACCAAACACAAAAATGTGTTTGGTTTTGTTTATGTTTATTGAATAAATGTTTGTACTTTATTTGTTGGTAAAACCGAGAAATGCAATAATTATAACCGTTTATAACAACAGCACCACCAGGCTCCACATCAGCGTAACAATGAAAAAACGCATGGTCATTTGTGGAAGCTTTAAAAAATAACTTCCACAAACGACTGGCATGCACAAAAAAGCTGACTTTTTTTCATTTTCGATGCAAGCAAAAGAGCAAGAGAGAAAATGTTGAAGTGGCGCCTATGTGGCACCGTCAATAAACATTTACTGAATAAATGTAAGCGGAACCAAACACCCTCTAAACTTAAGTGAGCATATTACAATTTACACATGGCAAATCATATAGTTCTTAATGAAAAATTGATTAAGTAAATAAGTTGTAAACTATAAGGGGTGTTTTAGTAAAATACAAATTATTGAATAAATTTAAGTAAATCTGTAAAATTATAAGGGGTGTTCTAGTGAATAACCTTTATTTAAATAATTTTTTTGTCAAACTGGAATTTTAATTGAATTGAATGGAGTTGAATCCACATCTCTTCATATATAAGTTATAAGATCCAAATCTAGAATAATAGAATTGGAGTTGAATCGGAAATCGGACTTTTGGAGTCAATTCACAGTCCATTTCATCAACTTCCCACTAAATAACCTTGTCACATTTAGGGCTGCAAACGGGTGGGATTGGATTCTGTAAGGGCATATCTGATCCGATCCGTTAAGAAAATCAAACTAATTCGAATCCAATAAAGATCAGTCGGAGTTTTAAACTCATGATTCAAAATTTAAGGGAAAATTTTCGATTAATACCCTATACTTTAGGACTAGTGTCACTTTAGTCCCTGAACTTTAAAATGCAATAATTCAATACCCGAATTTTTAAAACCTATCAATCTAGTACCTACAATTAATTAGTTGTTAATCAAGGTTTAGAAGAGCGATGAGATGAAGATCCCTGGGGAAATCTTGCATGAAACCATTGTCTATAGGTGTGAACATATTTGACTCGAGGTAGATTTCTGGTGATGATTTTGCAGTCCTCAAATAGATGACCCGTCTCTAACGCTGTATTTGGTTGCAGTAAAATTTTATTTGCATTAGTAAAAATGTACGAGAGTGTAAATGTAAAAAAAAAATGCAAATTTTTGTTTTAATTTTATTTTAGATTTTACTTTATACTGCTTCTTGTCTTAATTTACTTCATTAGTATTGCAATCTAATAAAATAAACTAAATTTTAAAACAAGAAAAAAGTCAAAATTTATACTCAAATAATTTGCACTGTTATAATTTTGCATCAGTGCTAATATATTTGCATTGCAACCAAACACAGTAAAGGATTAAATTGTTGAATAACTCCAATAATTGACAAAGAATCTACTTCTATTGTGAATTTGTGATAGGGGCATAATGGAATTTCTGGGCAAGTTTGTGTGCCTCAAAGGCAGTAAAAATAGGTTATATATGTGGGCCTAGTTAATACAGATCGCATATAATCTGAACCTAAACCAAAGCATGGATAATGAGGTAGATTCATGTTTGACATTTAAATCGATTCTTTTGTTTGTTGCTTTTATTTTTTATTTCATGGGGCTATACAAAGAGAAGGGTGGAGGTAGTGAGGCTGGTCCATCCACCATTCTCAATCGGATTCAGGTTGAACTTTTGTTAAATTTTGAATGAATTCATTCACAAAACCTAAACCTAAAATAATGTAAAATGTTAATTCGGACCAACCTGTGTGTTGCACCCATGCTCCATACCCACAAAACCCCCAGTGCCAGAGGGTTTAATCCCAATTCCCAAGTCTACACTGCCAGACACCCTACCAAATGCCAATCTAGCCACTTACTCTTAAATCGAATTTAATCAGATTACGTCGGATTAGACAGAAATTTATCCATATTCGTTCCAATTATTTATTATTATAACCAGATTGATTCGATCACCCTTGCCATTTGCAACCTTATTAATCAATGACAATGATCGAGTAGCAAGGTGCCAAAGAAAACACAAATGCATAAAGCAAGCTTTTTAAAATCGAATCAGACAATCAACCGTTCAAGGGCCTGATTTCTGGGTTGAACAGTCCCACCATTTAAACCAAATAAATGGTTCAACTTGACAAAAAAATAAAAAATCATTGTCTGGGTTGACAGTTTGAACGGTTTGATCACTTAGATGAGCAATTTATTGATCAAATCAATGATTTTTAGCCAAAAAATGATTTTGGGTGAAACAGAACCGATCAGGTGATTGATTCCCGATTTTTTGACCCGACCGTCCGATCCGGTCCGGGTTTTGAAAACATTTGCGTAAAGTTAACGAGTTAAAAATAAGTGGTGGGGTTGATATGGTGACTTTGGTCGTGACTCCCATGACCAGGACCAGAGTCAGACCCAACAGTAGACCGGTAATAAAGCAAAAACAGCTGAGTGAGATGAATTGCCCAACCAATAGTCCAATAGTGGATTTATCAAATAAAAATCAGTTCCCGAAGAAGATAAACTAGCGTCTTCTTTTTCAGTGCACGACTTTCAGGCTGATCATCAAGCGGACCCCTGCTGGTGGTCAAAACGAACCATTTAGGCCATTTGATAGGTCTTTTGGTCTGATCCGGTTTAAGAATTCCTGCGTTTGCCACAACATCAACAATCCCTCCCGGCCCCGGGAAACCATACTGGTTTGTTCTACCTTAACCTCGCCCATAGTTTTTGCGCCATAAAACAGGAGAATCCTGTTTTGCTTTTAGATTTCAGGATGAATAATTGAATGAATATAAATAGGGTATTGCTAGCTAGAACTTAGAAGTTGAAGGTTTCAATTCCACGTTGGTTGACATTAGCTGGGCAATACCCCTAACACACCATGGACGGGCAGTGGGTGGTGAACAAGCCTAGCCGGAGCGACGAAGTTCTCGACGCCGATGAACAGCTGAGGATCGCTGATCAGATCAGGGCTCACTTTCATTTCATGGCGCCCAAGCGGCCCATCAAACCCAACCGAAGCGAAACCGCCGATACTTCCGCAACCGCCCCTTTTCAAGATTCGGACGGTGGTAACATTCCTGAACTCGACAAGTTTCTTTCTCTTCGGTCACAATCCTTGCCTGTCTCTGTCGAAGAGGGAGGAGCTTCATTAGTGCAAGAGGAGTTTGTGGAGACCCAGTACTACAAGGAATTTAATTCCATCGACAAACAGCACCACACGGTAACATTCCTGATCAATCTCCTTTGTTGTTAAAGAAAAGAGATCATTGCTATTGATGTAATCTTATACGAGTTTTGGGACTTGGGGGGTTGTGCCTTGTGCGTGCAGACAGGGAATGGGTTTATAAGGGTAGTGGGAGGAGGTGGAGATGGATATGGTCTTCAGCTGCAAAGGGGTCATGAGGGAATAAGCAGAAGAGAGACGACGAGTATGAGATTCAGAAGCAACCCTGCAACAAACGACTGGATCCCAAGCGCTGAAGGAGAAGAGCGAGAAGAGGTAATACAAGCCTTCTGAGTCTTCTTCAAAGTTCAATCTACTAGATATCCAAACCCCCGTCCCCGTGCGTGGGTTTTGCTTGCTCTAGATCTATCAATCTTTCTATATTGTTATTTTCCTTTTGAGTCTTTGACCAGGCCACCTTCATCTCGTCGAAGCCTAGTCGGAGCGAGAGTTTGGTGGATGGGTAGTGTACTGTAGACCCTGGATCTATCGGAAGGAGACGGGTAGGGAAAAAATTACTTTTGGCTTATTAATTAGTGAAGAGAAATAGTGGCGTGCCTTTCCATGTGAAATAAATGGGGATTGTCTCGATCTGAGGCACTACTCTAGCAAATACAATCAAATTGTAAGTGACAATTGCAGTGTTTTTTATCATGTATGCATATAGTCTATTCGCTTTATTATTACTGTTTGGTGTTCTAATCATACGTATAGAATCGATCGAACGAAGGCGACCAACTTCAACTTTTCCCGATAATCTTCAACCCATACACATCACCTTTTTGTTGGAGAGAAAATATCAAATTTGGTTTTGCTTCAAACCATGCTTCTTGATTTTCGAGGCATGACTTGAAATACTGTTTTTTATAAAAAAGTTATTTCAAACAAATAGACGTTTCCTAGAGTATCATTTTTTCTGATGTAGTACTGATGTGTCACTGTTTTATGGAGCAATAGCCAAGAGTTCGCATTAGTGCAAGGGGGCACCCCAAAGCAAATCCTAACCATGTATGGGGAAATGGGAACATCTCCCGATGACTGAGATGTACTTATAAGGCGTTGTTGTTAAGGAAAATTCTTGATTAATACCCTATACTTTTGGTCTAATGTCACTTTGGTTCCTAAATTTTAAAACAGAACAATTCAGCATTGGAATTTTCAAAATGTGTCAATTTAGTATCGATCATTAACAAGTCATTAAATGACATTTGAAAATATACAAATGCCCTTCAAATGTCATAATTTTCTTTATTAACCATCTATATGTTAATAAAACATAAACAGTCCCAAATCCTTGCATCTTCTATTCAACAAAGTTGAAGTCAGCAGACCAATTTTTTTGAATAGAAGAGGTAAAGATTTGAGACTATTCATTTTTTTGTCAATGTTTAAATGGCTGATAAAAGAATTAAATAACACTTGAAATGCACTTGAAATACTGGATGTACTGAATTATTGCATTTTAAAGTTTGGAGATCAAAATAACACTAGGCCCAAAGTACAGGGTAGTAATCGGGAATTTTATTATCCATACGAATCGAAATGACTTGATCAGCAAACAAAATTACCAGAAACAACAAACATTTCATTGTTCGACTACCAGAATCAATAAACTGTAACAACTTGAATCCGCATTTTAACTTTCAAGCTTTCGCTGCAAAGTGCATTCCTCTCAATACATCAGTTCGCTTAATTCCCACCATTCTCGTCAATGGAAAAGCAGGAGCAGAACTTTACACTCATTAGTGCAATTTGAGAAAATTTTGGGATTTAAATAAGGGACCAGCGGCACATGCAAACACTTGGAAACTATCACTGTTATCTAATATTTCTTAGAAAATCTCAACTGATTCTCTTGGAATCAGAAATAGAAATGGTGCAACTTCAATTCTAGTGGTTCTGTAATATCAAAGAATGTTTCAAATGCATGACCACAGACAGAAGAACTCATGAGCCTGGTTCCATTTTTCAAAAAGGGAATACAATGTTTATTGCTTCCAACACTATGAAGTATGAACCAGAGCCAGTAGGAAAGATTACATGCTAAAAGTTTCTTAGAAGTACATGGTATCATTAGTTCATATCTCACGTGCACGCTAATAAAGCACTTTGAGTGTGAGGGGAACATCATCATTCACTAATACAATATGCGAATCATCATCAGTTCCTAAAATAGTTGGCAGGTAAAGGAATACAAGTATCTAAGCAATTTGAGTTGTATAAATTATTTGGAATGGAGCACACGTATTTACAACGTATAACTAGAAATTATAAATTATGCACATCCATTCTGCATACAAATGTAAATTATAATTGGTTCGTGTTAAGGATATTGATTGCAACTTCCAAGATATTCCCTCACACAAGTTGTTAAAAATATGCATTTTCCATGTATTTATACTTCATTTGTGGTCAGTTAAACCTTAAACTTTTCATTACTGATGTAATTTTAGATTTATTTGGGTTTCCCTACCATGTTCATATTACCTTAATTATTCCACCCTACACTGGTGTTTCGCATACATATCTCAAAAAGTCTTAAAATTGTGTTTCTGATATTAGTAAGAAACAAGAAAATCCATCTAGACCACATCAAGCTGGTTTGGCTTTCAAAAGATTACTGAACCTGTTGAACCATAGCATAAAATAGACAAAGTATATCAAATGCCAACTGGAAATGAAAAGAAAAGAAACAAGTTTTCTGGCAAGCTGCCTTAAGTACATGCACAAAGCATAAGATTTTCTTGTTCAAATCCTTCGGAAGAATTACCTCAATGCATGCCTCTTGAATATTCTTTCAGAAAGACAAATATGCTACCTTGGAAATACCAACCAGAAGGCTCTCAGAAACTACACGGAATCGCCCAACCTCAAGGCCATTGTATAATTTTAATATATGATACAATAAGAACACCAGGTTGGAGGGACCAATTTAGTTGCCCCCCGGCGCAAAATAAGCAAATGTTTATGAAATAGAACTTTTGCAGGTAACATCCAAACTATTGTGCCAAATATTTGTTTGGTTAATATTCTGCTTCAAATAATAACCACAGGAAGAAGAGTTTTGAAGGGCAAGCAACAAGACTTCAATGGGATTGTTGCCGGCGGCGATGGGCCGGCGGTGGACCCAGGGCCTATTGCTGCCGGCGGCGATGGTACGTCTTCCCGAGGAAGGCGTCCATAACATTACACCCCTCCTGGACTACGAGCTTGTCCTCAAGCTCAAAAGCTGGATATGTGGCATGGAACTCTGGCAATGGGATTGTTGGTGGTAGATCACACCATTCCACCAAGACTTCAAGGATTCCACGATTGAAATGAAAGCGGGTGACAGTTTTAGGCTGGGGGACGATTTTGCCATCTTTCAAGGGTGGCAAGGAGGGAACTTGGTCCGGGGGAACACCCGTAAATGGTTTCAGCAAAGAGATGTGGAAGACATCATGAATTCGGCTAGTCTCTGGCAATTCCAGCTGGTAGGCCACACTGCCAATCCATCGCAGAACCTTGTAGGGCCCATAGAACTTAGGGGCCAGTTTCGAGGCAGCCTTGTGGCGCAAGGAGTGCTGCCGGTAGGGCTGGAGCTTCAACCAAACAAATTNGCTGCCGGTAGGGCTGGAGCTTCAACCAAACAAATTGTCCTGGATCGAACGAYAGTTCCCGGTGGTGCTTATCATAGTGGAGCTTCATGCGGAGCTGGGCCTGCTATAAGCGAATGTGGACGTCGGCGAGGAGGGCGTCGCGGTCCTGTAAGGAGTGATCAATTGCGTCCAAGCGAGTAGATCCGGGCTCGTAGGACAGCAAGCAGGGAGGATCCCTGCCGTAAACGACAAGAAAGAGAGTCATGCCGAGGGAGGAATGGTAGGTTGTGTTGTAGCAGTACTCGGCCCAAGGAAGCCATTCCAACCATCGTCGAGGATGATCGCCTACGAAACAGCGGAGGTACAACTCGATAGTGCGGTTAACCACTTCCGTCTGACCGTCGGTTTGTGGCCGGTAAGCTGATGAGTAGGCCAGGGTGGTGCCGTGTAGTCGAAATAACTCTTTCCAGAAGGCACTAGTGAAGACCGGGTCTCTATCGCTGACGATGGATTCCGGCAACCCATGTAAGCAAAAGACATGTGTAAAGAAGGCGAGGGCAAC